AAACAAGGGAGAGAGTAGAGACAGCAAAATTTGTGGTTAGGTAAATAATCTAATGGTCATTCATATATATTGAAGATATATGAGCATGTTAGACTTCTTTAAATGTATACATCTGCGACATACAAAAAAAGGGGTAAAGATCTGGAGGGGTGGGAAGAAACAGAAGAATGAATCTCCCAGGTGAGCACACACTGCTTGGCCTGAAAGGAAAAGCCAGGCAGTTTGAGAAGAGATGTGAAGGTATGTCACCCGCATATTATACAGATCGTATGATTGCAGCAGATTACAGCTCTCCTCCAGCCTTAGCAATCAAAGTTCATTGTGTAATGGAATTCCTCCTTTAATATAATTCTCCCAAGCATCCAGGATTTAATATAAGAAGATTCTATTCTGCTCATTAGCATTCAGACAGAGAAAAAGTATACAGCAGAGACTGTGCGCTAACCTTTGCACTGCATTGGAGGATTAAATGTTAAATGAACAAAAACCAATTTATCGAATTCTTCCCAGTATAAAAATCTCATTTAGGAAGAATGCCCTTACTGCCAAAACTCTCTGAAGTGATCAGACAATTGTTTGCGCTACAGATGTGGTAAACACATTTTTTTTAATCTTTAAGCCTTTGAATTATCAAAAACTGCTGTATTTAGGCCTTACAAAATTTATGCATTTTAAGTCTGTATGCATCAGGTTGTTAGAAAACTAACCAAGTACGCGAATTTCTTCTTCCAGACAGGTCCAAATCCAAGTACTGAATAGAGGCTACAAATATCAGCAAAGAATGAAAACCAAAGCCATGAATTTTCAGTAGAGGATCAGATAAAGCAGGTGCCTTACTAATTCACAAAACACAATATCACACAGACTTAAAAACCAACCAAACTTGGCATTTAATTGAGCTAAGTTAAACACAAGCATTTTACTGAGATTATTCCGGCACCTCTGGAGTGCTTAGAGGGCCACAGAAAACATGTGAGGTGGATATGGCTTCCTGTCTCCCTGTCAGGATCTCGCTTTCGTCCTGACACACTGGCCTCTCAGACCTCTTCAATTGTGGGAGACCTAAGCAAAACTAATTTATATAGCCCAAAACTCACATGATCCCTTCCTTTTGTAAAAAAGCCACCTCTTAGAATCCAATCCCTCAAACTCTAGCTTTTCACTATGTGTTTAATCAAATGATGAATTCTATCCCTTGATATTAGCCAATGATGATGGCCAGGATTCTGTGTGTTTTGTGCTGCATGTAGCTATTTAACAGGAACTTAGGATCTAAAGAAGCTTCACACTGGAAAATATGACTTGTTTGTGCCCGATCCCAGGAAACATGCTAAAATGTTGTGAGACCTCAATTTGCTCACTTAAAAGTAAATACAACTTAATTCTCTGGATGGTTATCAAGTTCAAACAGTATAATACAGAAAGACAAAAGTCCAAGAATATTAATGTTAAGTGTGTGAAATGCTTCATGAAATAACAGTGCATTGCACATCTGTGCTATGGTTAACACTATTTCCACTCTAGCCAAATTTACCTATTTCCTTCAGTAAATTATACTCTTCATACGAAAAATATAACTTCCAGTAACTCCTGAACATTTCAGGAAATCTCAGTGGAAGTCCTTCTACTAATTTTTGTTCTATTTTCAATAAGCCATAGTAACCTGTTAAAGTCTTATGGGATTCACCAAATAAAATAAGTATTTAAGAAGGTAGAAGTCAAGACTAAAAGGTCAAATGTCTTCTCTGATCATCTTTTCATCTTTGCTCTGTGTCCACGCATTTAATTAATAGCTTGAAAACAAAACAGAAAACTCAAGATTAAGAGCACTATAGGAATTGTGAAATTTGAAAAGCCCTTATGTAAATCTTCAATCATTGACCTAAAACATCCGTTTATTTTACGAAGGTAGCTAAGCCACAGTGGTCAACGCCTGCTGTTTGGTATTTTCCTTTTGAAGGCTTTTTTCTTTTTGTTCACCCACTTTTAATAAAGGGATTTACCTGACAAATCCAGTTTTTAATCTGCATGGATTATGTGTATGTTAAATAGCTTTCCAGAACAGAAAAAGAAGAGAAAAATTCCAGAAGAATGATTTCCTTTGAGGGGTAGAGAAGGACATATATATATATATATGTCTAGTGGTCTGAATCCCCTTTAAAAACATGTTTATAACATGAATTTATTATTTTAATTATTACCTATTGACAAAAGATATTTAAATGGGTTAGCTGATGTTAAACAGAAACAAAATTTTAAGAATTCAAAATCTAATGGATGAATGAAAATAAAATTGACATATAACAAATTTTTTCATTAGAAAAGCATTGTTTGATCATTGTGGAAAGAAGGGAAAGGTACTCTAACAGCCATATAAAGTCACTTATAAATCATTTGATTAAACAAAGCTATTTTTTTCCATTGGGATATTAGAAGTTCTAAAGCTAGCCAAACACTGTAGACAGAGATTAATTTGATAAGATCATTAGAAAAAGGAATCTAGTAGTATCATTTCCAATTTAAAAAATACCTTCTTGTTTTGATCAGATAGGATCTCAGATAGCCCAGATTAACCTTCAACTTGCTAGGTACCCTGCACTCTTGTTCCTCCTGTCTCCACTGCTTAAGTGGTGGAATTAAAGGCATAAGCCTAGTCCAGCAGCATCCTTTTAAGCATACAAAGAGAAACATAAACTTTGCTAGATTTCACAGATGATAAAATAAGCCTTTGAGAAAATCATGATTGAAAGTTATTGCAATCTGAACAATAATCTAGTTTCAGTATCATGTCATTATGAATATGCACTGAAGTTTATAAGTGAGAAAAATGTCCCTTCAAAGGAAAGTGGATGCAATCCCAATTTACAATCAAAAACTAATATTTGTCTCAATAAATACAAACCCCATTGTTCTCTCTGGTGTGGCAACATTATTTGAAAAGATGAATTTGGTTATACTGTAACTCATAGCTTACAGGAGAGTCAGCAAGTAAGAATGCATTCTGAGCAAGTGTCCAAAGTATGTATTTGAAAGTATATAATATAAGAATTGGTTGAAAGCATAGATTGTATGTTGGCTTAATAAATTGTCTTAAACAGGACATGCTGACAGATTGTGTCTTAGATTAAATTGTTAACTTGCTATGGCCTTGAGTCATCTGAGAAAGAGATCTCAGTTGAGACATTGCTCAGACCAGACCCACTGTGGGCATGTCTTGAAGTAAGAGGGCCTAGTCCACTGTGGTGGTATCATTGCCTGGGCAGTTAGGGAGGAAAGGGTTTTATTTGGCTTATGCGTCTAGATCACAGTCCGCAACTGAGGGAAATCCGGTCAGGGAATCATGAAGAATCTTGCCTGATTGTTTCAGTCAGAGTATTTTAGCATAGCAACAGAAAGGAAGCTAAAACAGCTATGAATAGCTTAGTATTAGTCAGAAGGAAAACAAATTGGCTTTGACCTGACACTCCAGAAGTAGGACTAAAACCAGTATCCAGAAAGCAGTTGTTAGGTCCATAAGAAAATATTTAAAAGGAGTACACTGTTCCAGAAATGGTCTAGGATCTGAGCTTCTCTGAGCCTGCTTTATCATAGATGGGTATCCACACTGAGGACAAGAGGTAGGCAGTGGCTGGGAATGCAAACGTAAGAGAAAGAAATAACCAGTTGCTACTAAAATTAAGATGGCTCCTCCTGTTTCTAGGACTCTAACGTGTTTAACTCACTGCTAAGGAATTATTGCTGAGTTATGCCATTAATATAACAGACATGTGTTATTAGCCTACTATGTGCAGAATAGAGAACCAAAAATTTCTGCTTTAATGACCTTATATCATGGTAGAAAGATATGAATAGCAAACAAAGAAGTAGGTATATATCATGATGCAGGGAAAAGTAATACATAAGAAGAAACACAAAAATGTAGAATTTAATAAAGATCAGGAATCTTCAGTAAGAAAGTAATATTTTAGAAAAATATTATTTTTTAGCATTTTCAGAATTAATTTTATTATAACATCCAGTAGAAAATATGACAACCTTAGTAAAATACTGTATAATCTGAAGGCCATTTTAATCATAGTATATTGTAAAATGGTAAAATTTAATGATTATCTCAAAATGTGTTTGTAAATGGGGTTCTAAAAGATCTAAGTCTCTAACACTGTTACTAAGGTGGATTAAATCTAGTATCAGTGATGATTCTGGAGGTTCATCTTGGTTAAAAGAAGAACCTGGGACAAAGCCAGTAAGGAAAAGGGAAGAATGTGATTACATGGGAGGAAGACAGACATCTCCAAGGCCTCCATAGAAACTAACACTTTATCTCAATTTTCTATCTCCAGAACCAGGAGGAAATACATTTTTATTGTTTAAACTATGTACTCCGTGGTACCTTGTTATAGAAACCTGCATAAACATACAGAGGATAGATGAACACTATATGAACTCTGTCTAAATATAAAAGACTGCATTAGCCTGAGTATCAGAGCAATTCAAAATCTTTTAAAGACTTTTATATTTAGAATTTATATAGACTTTTTGGAGCTTAGCTTTCAGGATACAGAAAGCACTTACTTTTCTGTTAGGATGCAAATAGTTTAATCTATTGATGTTGTGCCATGGCAGCTCACAAGCTCTAATGTGCTTATGCTGTGTAACAGCTGATCTCAGAGGAACTAACCACTGTCCCACTCAAGCATCCCGCAACCGCCAAAAGAGTGTAACACAAGCGTTGCCATGTTTGTAACAAAGCGCCATGATTTCCTGCTGCAAGGACTCTTCTGCCACATAGAGAATGGTGAACACATTTAAGTATTCTTTCAAAAAAGAATGCTTATTTCTGCTCTTTGTGTTCCTTGGGGCTATTCTCTTAGTTCTCTCTCTCTCTCTCTCTCTCTCTCTCTCTCTCTCTCTCTCTCCCCTCTGTGTACGTACACATGTGTGTATATGTGTTTCTCTGTGCATTACAGATTTAACAAAAACAAATAAATTAATATACTTACAGGTTCTGTTAATTTAGATGTTTTCTCAAAATCTTCACCTTCCTCCATCAGAGTTTCTTCAGTCCCGGGTAAAGAATCTATTTTAATTTTTAAAAATAAAAATTATACATTGCCTATGCAAGAATATTAACATTATTGAACTACTTATTTAAAGAAGCATGCCGTTTCTGAGTAGACATTTGAATGACATTTATCAGCTTATAAATATGAAAATTAACATAGTTCTAATTCAGAAGTCTGTAATAAAATTAAAAACTACAAGAGCTAGTTAGCTTATTTTTACAAATACAGCAACACTTCAGGCTGGAGAGCTGGCGCTGTGGTTTAGAATGTGTGCTCTGTAAGAGCGCACAGAGACTATGGCAGTATCCCCACAGCCTGCACAGGACTAAGCCACATAGGGTCCCAGTGCTGAGAAGTGGGAACAAGTCCCGAGCCCCATCTCAGAAGCTGTCTTCAATCACTGCTTTCAAGGAAACAATTATTTTTCTCTAACAGAGTCTCCTTGACTATACAAACCTCTCTTAAGGGTAGGCCGTATGCCCAGCAGTAGAAGGCCAACATAAAATGATTTTAATGGTCATTTGCAGGTTTTTGTTTTGTTTTATAATGCTTTATCTGAGCATTTTTTTAATGCTACAGATATTTTACTTATGTATTTGTGTTATATATTTACTTATATATTTATATACTTATGTATTTTACTTATATGTCTTTACTTATATATTGTGTTTCTGATTTTCTGTCTTAATGGGACTTCTGTAAGTGTGAATGTGTGTTTCTCTATGTGTTCCTTGCAGTCTGTCTTTGGACCTCTTTTTCCTGTTTGTTTGTCTTTATTTTAACCTATTTTATTTAACTTTTGTCATTGTAGATGCCTATTTGATTTCCAATGAGTGATAGCAAGAAAGGGTGACAGGGGAGGTGGAAAGGATCTGGGAGGAGTTGGGAAAGGAAAAAAATAACATAATCAGAATACTCTCTATGAAAAAAATCTATTTTTGAATTAAAGAAATAAAGAGTATGTGCTACTATTGTAAAGGACCTGAGTTTAGTTCCCAACATCACATCAGATGGCTCCCAACTACGTGAAACTACAGCTCCAGAGGAGCCAACAGTCTATTCTGTTGTGAGGTTGCCTGCACTCATGAACACACACCCACATACAATACCTGCATAATTAAATTAAAAATTAATCTCAAAATTAGGTAACACTTTTTTGGTATTTATATAACTAGATTTTAAAGATATTTATCTTTAATGTCTTTTTCTGTTTTGTAATGTTAAATTCTTGTTGGTTTAATGCTTTCTTTTAAATGGGGTGAGGATTATACAAGTATCAGTTCTATAAATCGGTATTCTCTTTTTTAAAATCAGATAACAAATTGTAAAGAGGTCAATAAATGGTGGTAAGTTCTAGACAAACATATCAAGCAAGAAGTTGTGACTATTTGGTCTAAATCTTAGAGAAGTGAGTGAGTGGTGGGTTTCAATTAAATGAATAAACTGATGGGAAACCTTTCCATATGGCTGCCAAGTTTGGTTAATTAGTGCCATATAGATAGATATTGGCAATTGCTATATAATTCTGTAATAATTATAATTATATGTAACATTTATATACTATTTATACAAGATACTGTCAACCTCCTTAGTTAAATTATTTCCTAGTTTTATTGAAATTTAAAACTCAGTTTAGAGGAAAGTATTACAAACCATGTGGTTTTATAAACTTTATTTTTTATTAATTGTTTATTATTTATTAATATTAAGAGAGCTCTCATAAAAGAAGCTTCTCTTTATCGAAAATGGAGACCAAAACAGGGAATTAAAACTAAACACAATGCAGAGATCAACAGTTCATAGGAAGCCATGACATTAAAGTATGCACCCATACCATAGCTCCTACATGGATGGCTCATAGAACATTGGCAGAAGAGAGGGCTGAAGGAATTTAGAAGTCAGAATAATAAGAAGACTGCTACAAAATAATCTCTGCTAGAAATAGCTAAATAAATAAGACTAGAACAATTCTAATATCGGTAGACATGCTAATGTGTAAAGGGGAAATTTTCATGGTTCCCATCCCTAGACAAAGAACTATAGACAATATTGACATTTGGAGAGGGAGGGGATAATGAGCCTCACCCAAGGATTAGCTTTCTTATTGGTTATCAAACACAGTGGTCAGCCCTGAAATCAAACAACAAAAGCAGACTTAACAGCATGTCTTTATGTATTTGTGCACACATAGACACATATATGTAGCTAATATTTTTTAAAAAATCAATTTTGGAGGAGGACAAGAGAAGTGTTAGAGTGGGGGAGCCATGGAGGAGCTGGAGGAAGGAAAGAGAGAAAAGGATTTCTATTTTAATTTAAACGTTTAAAGCCCTATGATTGCATAAAGGAAAATCATTTAAATTCATGTACAATGGAGACAGATTTTTCTTTTCTAATGCAGGAAATGAGTGCTCTGTGCAAAAAATTAGAATATTAAAATCTTCTTGCCACTTATGGTCAAAGAGTAACGAAGCAATGAAAAAACATGGCACAAGTACATGCTTGTGACTCATGGCATCTCTATCTCTGGTAACTCAAAGTGTTTTATTCAAGAAAAAAAAAGCTAACAACTCTCTAGGTACAAGCTTATCTCTATATAAACACAGATATCATTGTAAAACACAGAATGCCCACCACTATTATATTATCTCTGGAGAAACCATAAATTATAATAATTTACTTACTACCCTTATAAACAGAATTGAACCATTAAAAGTAGCAAATTTTAGTTGATAAGCTCAAGATGGATAATGAAAAATGTATCAAGTTAAACATAGTATTCAACTGCAAAGAATACTTTGGCACCTATTTATTAAAACCCAACTTCTAACATCTTAAAAGCTAGCATGGACAGAGCCATTAAACCAGGAGGCAAGTTGGACCTCATTTGCATCTTCTAAAGTTAAGTCACAACTCTGGTCACAGGGAAATAGGTAGGTTAACCCAAGATCCTCACCTCTCCACCCATTTCTCCATGTCCAGTCTTGCTGTCTCATCCCCATCCACACTCTGTTGTGGCCTCTTCTCACTCTCTGACACCACTCCCTGGGAACTAACTAAGAAAATGCTGATGCAACACTGCTTTTATCCCTTCTGAGAACCTCTTTTCCCCATCCTAGCTCATCTCTTTTCCTACAGTTCCAAAACCCAAGAACACATTTTTACCTGGGGTCCCCACTGACCAAACTTAACAAAAAACAAAATAATTTCCCATGAAACACACACACACACACACACACACACACACACACACACACACCAACACTCTTCTAAGAACCAAAAAAAACAAACAAACAAAACAGAGTCCAATGAACAAAACATACACCCACCAAAGAGCAGTTGTCTGCACCTAGAATTACCATCTTCCCAATCCCAGATGCCTAGATGCCAGCATAAAAATACAATCTACGACACCCACTAGAGTCTCCACTAGAGTCTTGCAATCCTAACACAATAGGCCCTGAATACTCCAACATAGCTGATATACAGATAAAAAAAAAAACCTTAAAATAGCCTTTATGCATATGATAGAGGACTTGAAAGAGGAAATCTGTGAAATTTATGAAAACAAAACAGTAGAAGAAAATGGAAAAAAAAATGTTCAAGACCTGAAAGGGGAAAAAGAATCAACAAACCGAACAATGAGAAACCCAAACTGAGGGAAATGTGGGAATAAAAAAATCAGGAGCTGGAATAGAAACCTCAGAGGCAAATTTTAGCAACATAATATAGCAGGTAAAAGAGAGACTCTCAGGCGTTGAAGACATGATAGAAAAAATAATATAGCAGTCATAAATACTGTTAAATCTATAAAATTCCTGGCATAAAACATCCCAGGAAATCTGAAAAACTATGAAAAGATCAAGTCTAAAAATAAAATAGGATTGGAGGAAGGAAAAAAAAAGAAAAAAAACCAGGTCAAAAAAGCAGAAAATATTCTCAACAAAATCACAGAAGGAAGTTTTCCTAACCTAAATAAGGAAATGCCTATGGAGGCACCACAGGCATACAGAATACCAAACAGACTGGGCCTGAAAAGAAATTCCCCTCGGAACGCAATAATCAAACATTAAAATCTACAGAACAAAGAAAAAAATATTAAAAACCAGAAGGGAAAAAGACTAATTAACGTATATTAGGTGACATATTTGAATTATTTCTGACTTCTCCATAACCCTTAGTGTATTAAAAAAAAAAAAAGTAGTAATTAAAAGTCTCTCAACCAAAAAAGGCCAGGAACAGATTATTTCAGTGCAGAATTCTACCAAACTCTCAAAGTGGTAATGCTAATATTCCTAAAATTATTCCACAAAATAAAAAGAGAAGCAACTCTGCCCAATTCATTTTATTAACAGTTACCCTGATATCCAAACCACATAAATACACGACAAAGAAAGAGAATTATAGTCCAATTTTTCATATGAACAATGAACATAGATGCAAAACTTTTCAATAAATTACTTGCAAACCAAATTCAAGAACAATTCATAAAGGTCATCAACCATGATCAAGTAGGCTTCATCCCAGAGCAACAGAGATATTTCAACATACTTAACTTCACCATATAAAAAACTGAGAGACAAATTATCTCATTAGATGCACAAAAGGCATTTGACAAAGTCCAACACACCTTCATGATAGCCCTGGACAGATTAGGTATACAAGAGACATATATAAACATAGCAAAGACAGTTTACAGCAAGCCCATAGCCAAAATAAACTTAAATCAAAGAAATACAACTAAAATCAGAAATAAGACAAGATTGTCCACTCTCTCCATACCTTTTAAAATATAGTATCTGAACTCTTATCAAGAGCAATAAGACAAATAAAGAAGATCAAAAACATACATAAAACATGGAAAAGAATCAAAGTACCTTTTTTTGCAGATAATATGATAATATACATAACTAACCTGAAAATTTTCACCATGAAACCCCTACACCTGATAAACATGTTTAATATAGAAGCTGGATACAGAATTAACTCACAAAAACCAGTAGCCTTCTTTGAC